ATATATATATATATATATATATATATATATATATATATATATATATATAGTCACCCTGTTTTTCCATAATAGAACGTTATGTGAATGTTTATAAATTATTTTCCAGAAAAAAAGGACCTGTTGGTGGAAGGCACAAAGTTTAATTAATTTGGAACCTCAACGTCACATTTTTAAAGGACGTTTATTCTTCCCAATTTTTCAAAGATGAAAGTAGGAAAACTGAAATCTGGTGTTTAAGGAGTTGGAGGGATAATCTCAACATAAGGAAACAGGAAAGAAATGGACTACAAATCCCAGGCATCAGGCGCCATTACCTGTTTTCAGATCGTAGGGGACTCCTTTCTGCAACATATTTCCCCGTCTAGTCCTCTCCGCTTGTGATTAGAGCTCGACAGCCAACAAAAATCAGCAGAGCGTTCGTTTAGTATATTTAGAGATGACCGTTTGTATTGCTGCTGCCTGAAACAGGCTTTGTTCGCAGTTATAAAGTGTTTCCGCCGCAGTTAGCTCAGCTCGCGAAGGGACAGCTTTAAGCTAACATTAGCCGTTAGCCTGTGGTAGATTTACGGGCTTATATCCGCTGCTGTCCTGCCAGGTAAATAAGCTAAAGCTGCTCAACCACTATGTTTTTCTCCTTTAAGTCCTTTCTCAGTATTGACATTGATAAATAATTCATCTATAGTGAGACGCTCTGCTCGGCTTTTGCGCAGGTTCGGCCTATTTTTTTTTATTTTCTTTCTCCTTTTTTGTTTTGTTTCTGAACGTCTACATAAAGGAAATAAAAAAGCAGAAGTAGCAGTTGGGGGGGCAGGCTGTTTGTCAGGCTAACCGTAGACTGTTTGGTGTGAACAAAGGCGCCAGCTGCTGACTCCGGATTATCGTGAAAAGATTCATAAAAGCAGAATGGCGCAACACGACCCCTCTCATGTAGCCAGCTCTCAGAAAGCTCTGATGTTGGAAATGAAGAGCCTTCAGGAGGAGCCTGTTGAGGGATTTAAGATAACTCTGGTGGACGAGGCTGATCTGTACAACTGGGAAGTGGCCATCTTCGGACCACCAAACACTCACTATGAGGGGGGATACTTCAAGGTAAGAAAGTTATTGAGTTAAAAACAAAGTTTAAGATTCACTCAAGCTGAATAGAAAACAGATTTATCAGCTTCTCGGTGGTTCCTTTGAGTCTGAAAACTGTCCATGCTTTCCAGGATAAAAATCTATATCTACACCAGATAAGTGTATATATAGATTTTTTGTTTGTTTAAAATTGTGTAATTTTAGATTTTATTTCATATTGTTTTTTTTCTGAATGTTCTGTTTCAATCTTTCCATCTGTTTGCCTCCTCCAATCTGACCTTGTGTATCTTATCAGTTTAGGCCCCATCCATCTCAACCTTGATATTCTTTCTTCCATTTATTAAAAATACATGGATTAAATATCATATTGTGACAGGGTTTTTTTCAGCTTTTTGCTATTTTTGGGTCTTACACAAAAACAACCATTGTTCTACAGGTTCTTTAATAGAATTCGCCTGTTATTACAGAAGAACAGGAAAAGAAACTTGAAGATCATTCACATTTTTGCATCCATGCTCTCTAAACTAGGGCTGCAGTTAATGGTTATTTTGCAAATCGATTAATCTGTAGATTATTTTTTTCAATTCATCAATTAATAATTGGATAGCAAACAGTTCCTTAAAGAAGACTTTTTAAGAAATTGAACCAGGTGAAACGAACACTTTTTGAACTTGAGGAGTTCTGGATAGAGCATATTGACAGATAATCTTTTATTATCTATTATTTTTACATTTTTTGTATAGTTACTGCTCAAGGTGGGTCGCTCTGTCTGCTAAAGGCATGTTTTAGAGTCTCTATACTACAGTTAACAATTAATCGATTACTAAATTAGTTGACGATTATTTCAAAAATAGATTAATCACGATTAATGCGATTCATTTTCAGCCCTACTCTAAACTTAAACAGACTTGTAGTAAGGTTTAAATAAAAAATATTGTTTTAACATGGTTCTCTGGGTTGATGCGTGCATCTGCAACAAATAGTGGGATTTCTTTTTCTGCTGCACTCAGTCTGTCAGGAAAAATAACAAACTTTATTTATTTATTTAATTTTATTTTTTATTTTATATTTTTAAATTTGCACTGATTGCTTGTACTGTGTTTTTTCTTTTTCGAGTAATTTCGTTGCACCCCTGTGGAGCAATGACAATAAAGAATTCTGATTCTGATTCTTATTTATATTTTTTCGTCATTCCCTGCAAATCTCTACTATTATTGTTTTTTTTTTTATTCCTCAGTGAATTACCCAGTTCGTCCATCCAAACATCTATTTACCATTTGTGTTGTTGTTCGTTTGTTTCTTTCAAACCATGTTTATTATTTATACCTAGCTCGTATTGTAGAAGAGTTCTGCCATAAACTCATACATTTTATATTAAAGGATTAAAAAAATTATGTGAAGAAGTTTTGAATATATATAGAAGTTTAGAATTGTGATATGAAAATGTTTTATGACCTTGTGCATGTAGAGTTATGTTTCTTGTGTTTTGTTTAAGGCTCGGATCAAGTTTCCTACCGACTACCCATACTCCCCACCAGCTTTCCGTTTCCTCACCAAAATGTGGCATCCTAACATTTATGAGGTCAGGTTTCAGAGGAAGACGCTCTTAGCTTTGTCTAAACATACATTTCAAAATCTATAGTCGGCTTATAGTAAAACAATTTTTTTTGTTGTTGTTTTAGAATGGCGACGTGTGCATTTCTATACTGCATCCTCCAGTGGACGACCCACAGAGCGGAGAACTTCCATCAGAGAGATGGAATCCTACACAGAATGTCCGGTCAGCAACTCCCATATTATTTTCTCTCCTCATGTATCTCTCCTTTTTGATAATTTATCCTTCCTGCTTTGTCCTCTCTCTGTTACTTCAATAATTTAACCAGCTCAGACTCTTATTGTGTGACACACATTAGCAGGCCTGTCTTATTCACCCCCCCATGACAACTTAACACTGGATCAACCCTCTAAAATATCTTTAAATGAGCTTGCAGTTGACACAGTGGTTACATGGTTAATTTTTATTGTGATAATAAGTCTTAGCATACATATTTTGATAACCAGGAAGGTGTAAAGAAAAAGAGTTTATGAATCGCTGCAAGACAATGCATAGTGAAACTCCTTGAAAACCAGATTATCAAGTCGGTAAATTTATTTTAAGGCAACCACAAAAACTCACGTTGGCTGTGAAGAAAATTTTGGTAATGATGGAATATAATGGATAAACCAAAGGCGAAAATAATTTTTTAATCATGTAAATAATCAAAAAATGTATCAATATTTGTGCCCCATGCCAGCAAGTTGACTTTACTGTATGAATCGCATCTAAATACAATAAAATACATTACAATTTATTAGGGCCGCAACTAAGGATTACTGGCAAATCGATTAATCTGTTTTTTTTACAGATTTAAATCAGGTGAAACTAAAGTGTTTCTGCTTGAGGAGTTCTGGATAGAGCATATTGACAGACAAGATGTTTTTATCCTGATACCCAAAATATTTAAGATAGAACTGCTCTAAGTGGGTTGTTTCTCTGTCAGCTAAAGACATGTTTTAGAGTCTCTATTCTCCAGTTAACAGTTAATCAATGACTAAATTATTTGATGATGAAAGGAGTGAAAGGAAGACAATATGTAATCTTCCCCTTCTCACTAAGTCTGTTTATTGAAAAGGTAAGATCACATTTATCTGCACTTGTTAAAGTTAATTACTATCGGAGTTAATTCATTCAAACATTTCTTATTTTTTTTAGCTTTTTGCAGTGGTGCTAAAAGGAATTGTTTTATTCTTCGATGTTTTAATCTGTCATTTATTGCATATCCCTAACCTACCTCAGTAGCCCTCTCTCCATTAGTCATTCTTGTTACTGTGACTTGAATGGTTATCTTAGAGTTGGAAGTAAGAAAAAAAAAACTAAGTATGTTAAAGTTTTAGTCAGTGATATTTTTATTTCTGTCGGTACCATTTGTCTGTTCGGGTTGTAGGATAAGCCTACCTTCCCTATCTGTGTTAACAAGGGTACAGTGAATTAATTGGAAGACAGATCCTGTAAAACAGATGAAAAACTAAAGCAGGAAGCAGAAAATGCTCATCTTGTTTCAGATTAAAGGGTTTAGCTTATAGGCAGGCAATGAATCCAAATCAAGCACAAAACCAACACAACAACTGACCACAAACCACAGCTTCCTGCTTCCGACTGTGGCCCTGACAACACTGCTCAATAGGGCACTGAAATGTGAAGCTTCATCTGGCAGAACAACGCAGTACTTGCGTCAATACATTTGCTAACTTGTCCCTAATATCTTGGAAGTGATATATGTTAATATATGTGGAAGTTGTTTAAGTTGTATATATTCACTGTAAAAGAACCAAAAGATGTCAGATTTTTGGTTTCTTAGAGAACTGTACTGAAATACTTTGGTTTGGAATCATAGATAAGGATTCAAAGTATTTGAGTTTTATTCCATTCTACACTAAAACAGTTTATTATCAGACTAACTTGTCCCCTTTTTCCTTGTTTTCTTTTAGAACCATTTTACTGAGTGTAATCTCTCTGCTGAATGAGCCCAACACCTTTTCTCCTGCCAACGTGGATGCCTCTGTCATGTATCGCAAATGGAGGGACAGCAAAGGCAAGGATCGGGAGTATGTAGAGATCATAAGGTAAGGTTGGATATGTAGTGGGATAGAGGGAGATGGCTTTAGTCCTTTAGCAGTTTCCATGTGGTTATGCTTAGTTTCACTCATACTGTTCATACACCTTGTTCCCTTATTGTTCCACATGTTAAAAATCACAAACCCGAATGTTTATTTATTTTTTATTCTCTGGATATAAACCTACATAAATCAGTGCATCATTACGAATTGAAGGATATGTTGCTCCAATAATAATAAAAATATGAATTTGTATTTTGGTTTCATCAACATAGAGTACAATCTGTTACATTCTTGCTGTGATGTCCACAGGACACTCATAAAAAGCCAGCGTTGTGTCCTTAGCAACACCAAACATGATTTTGCATCTGATCCTGCAAAAAATCTTGTCGTAAGAGGTTGTGTCGTTTAGCGCTCATTCAAAGTAAATGGGGATGAACACACCCGACTCGATTTTCTCCTTTTGCTTCGCTCTGACTGAGATAGACTCCAGGTCTATTTTATTCGGAATACGGAGTAATTCAGCTGCATTTTTTAAGGGTCTGGCAGGAAGAGAAACACATTTGGGAAGTAAAATACATCTTCTTTGACTTAAAATACAAAATAAAACCTGTCAAAAGCATGGAAAAATAGTCTGAAATAACACAGCGGGTTTATAGCAGGCAGGGCAGACTCCTGCATAAACGATCAAAAAGAAAATTGAATAAACGGAATACTTTAGCCATGATAGGACAGAAAACGGATAAAGTAAAATAGTGATCCTCTTCAACCCTCAAAACAATGAGAGATGGTTATAAAAAATATATATATATAATAATTCACAGATCACTCTCTGAGAATCTCCTCTCACTTCCTCATCAAGTACCTTTATAAACCATCCCACAGTGTTTATTGCTCTGTTTTCCTTTTCTCTTAACCTAGTTCCCTGTTCTAGTTCCAGAGCATGCTGTTCACTCGGCCTCTGCTTTGTTGTCAATCTGTCCCGACAAATGTTGGTCATTGTTTCAATTTGTGGGTCACAGAAACAGGTGTGAGAAAACTCGACATAGATCGGTATCTGCTCCCCTTGCGTAGTCGGAGCCTCTCTACACGCAGATAGACAAATGCTGAGTTTGAATTCAGGGGCTGCATCTTCCGAAGGACAGATTCGTCCACCGATTACATCATAGCACGGCGCTGAGGCTTGTTCAGATGGGAAGTTTTGAAGGACAGGTCCGGTGCATCCTAGGTAGCCTTTGGTATCCCATGATTCACTTGCAAGTCAAGCAAGCCGGCTGCTCCGTACTCAAAGGAAAAGGGGAAATGCCGCAGAACAGTGGTGAATATTCTAAGTGCATCTTAATATAATACAAGTATGTAAATCAGGCATCCCCAAAGTCGGTCCTCGAGGGCCGCTGTCCTGCAGGTTTTAGAGGTTTCCCTGCTCCAGCAAAGATGATTTTAATTGAAAGCTGATTAACAGGCTTTTGCTGAACTGCAATCATCATAATCAGCTGTGCTAAAGTAGGGAAACCTCTAAAACCTGCAGGACAGCGGCCCTCGAGGACCGACTTTGGGGATGCCTGATGTAAATAGTTCCATCTGAAATTAATTAAAATAGTTGTTTTAAATGGTTATTGGGTCAGATATGTGGCAGGCAATGTTTTGTTTATTGAAATGTTTTGTCTGTCTGTCTCCAAATGGGTTTGGCTGAAATTTAAGCTCAGATTCTAATATCTCTGTAGTGTGGGGACTATAAAGCTGATATTCATGCCTGCCGCTGAAGCTCCTCGAAAATGTTATTAGCACCCACAACAGTAGTGAGAAGTTTGGTATCTATTATTTGCCTGCCTTGTGTGTCAACTGTCATGGTTGCTTGGCGACAGAGCATATTTGCGGTGAAAGCCAGAGAAGGCTGGAGCTATTTTTAATCCATAGCCTCCTTATTGTTATGGACCACATAAGACCCGGTCTAGGTAGACTGGGTCCTTGGAGGATATTCCTATGAAATGGAACAAACCCAGTGTGACATTGGATGCAACTGATGTGAGCCAAGTGTAAGATGTTGCTTTCTGCAGCTCCTCCTGGTTTAACGAAGGGCTCTTAACTACTCTTCAAACCAATGCTCTCCTCTGTTAGGGTGTTTGGCCATATCTTGGTAGATTTACAGTTGAACTGTGCTCTTTCCATTTTCAGATGATGGATTAAACAATCATGAGTGATATGACTGGAACTCTGCATATTGTTTAAAAAACTAACCCTTCTTCAAACCTTTCTGCAATATTCTTCCTCTGTCTTTTGTGTTTTTGTTTTCTCATGATGCTTTTTGTGGACTCAGATTATTAATCAAACATTACAGGTCTTTACAGAATAGCATCTCTCTTTTATATATCCATTTGAGAAAAAAAAAAAACTTTGAGAACAGATGTTTTTCCTTTCCTCGTAGAAAAAAGCAACTGCTTGATTTTTGTGAATCACATAAAATCCCAAATAAATACATGAATGTTTTTGATTATAATTTAAGAAGAAAATTAGGTATACACGTATTTATGCTTTTTCAAAGTTCTGTTTTTTTTACAAGTGCTAAAAGCTTTGAATTTCTGCAAGCCATAAAGCTGTTTGGCTGACTTCTCCCTCAGGAAGCAAGTGATGGCCACCAAAGCAGAAGCTGAGCGCGACGGAGTCAAGGTGCCCACCACTCTGGCTGAGTACTGCGTCCGCACGCGCGCCCCAGCCCCGGACGAGGGCTCTGACCTCTTCTACGACTACTACTACGATGACGACGACGTGGAGGGAGAGGACGGCGACTGCTGCTACGACGAGGACGACTCTGGCAACGAGGAGTCATGATGTGCTTTGTGGCAAAAGCGCCTAATCTCTCCGTCAGATGCTCCTCCTTTCTCTCTGCCCGGGTTGCCCGTTACTCCAGGTTTACAACCAAGATTGGAAGCTTCCTTCTTCTAAATCAATAAGAGCTTTTTTTCCTCGAGCCTTAGAGGTTTAAAGTTGATGCCTCGCCCTGAGGGGGTCAGACTTGGTTCAAATTTGCACCAGCAACAAATGTCACCAGTTCCTCTCTGTTTTTCAGTCATCACCTCAACCTTACTTTGAGAGAGCGTTACCTAAATGCACACATATTCCAGTGTCATTAGACCATGCGTTTAGAATAAAGTGTTGATTATTGGGTAAGTACCACTGCTAACGAGGACATTTTCTCTGGTGTAAACTTTTCGAAACATGACTCAGCCTCTTTCTCCCCTTCTCATATTTGTACTTCGCTAATTGTAAGTGGCTGCTGCTCTCTGATGGAAAATGGTGACTTAATGCAGCCTGTTTGTGTTGGATAAAGCCCTGCATTTTTGTTTTTTTTTTGTTTTTTAGTTTTGCAGCGTCTCTTCTGGATAGGACAAGGCACGAATGAATTGTTACGTGACAGTGTTTTCAAAGTTCTTGTGCATGCCAGAGCATATTTGAAAGCGTTTCATCTCTCTCTTCCTTACCGGTGGACTGTTTCCCCTCCTTCCACGACAACACAAAGACTTTGACGTGACGATGGAGGAGCGAGGAGCCGGCAAAGTCAGAGGGCTCAGTTCCTCACATGAACATTTTTACTAACATGAAAACTGATGTTTGCTGGCTTTTTTTTTTCTGGTTACTGTCAGAGGTGATTCTTCTGGGTTGTTTAGAGTAGATGGATTTTTCAAAGTCTTTGAGGGGAATTGGGGACAGAAGTAACTGTTGATCAGAATTGTATTTCCCTTTAGGCTCGATCTCTGCAATGCCTGATGGACCCAAAGACCCAAAGCATTGTTTAGAAGTTTTGACTAGTGTTTGGCGTGCTCTTTGTCTTTGTTTGCCTGTTTGCTCTCTTGCAAGCTTCATCATTATTTGGCTTTCATTTTGTTAGACATTTTGCCTGAACTGTTTACTAAAATGGCCAAGAAATCTGTAGATAGTGTTTGCTAGAGGTTGGGCTACTAGGATTACTTAAGTTTTTACCCTTTCAAGTGAAAGTAGAAAAATCGCCCCGTTTTATTTCTCATGATCTTTGTTAGTTCAAAGTGAACAGATTTGATAATATTTTTTAGAGTGTATGGGTGTCCTGTGTGTATTTTATTTTCCTGCCAGCAATATTGATTTTTATCTCTTTAAATTGGGACATCATGATGAATTTCTCAGGAGAAAATGACATGCGATAAAACAATTAAGACTAGCAACTAATTTCCTCTTGTGGTGGTCTTCAGTGTCAGTTTACAGCTTCTACAGGAACCGTAAATCAATATGCACACGTAGCTGTATAAATGATCACTATTTTGTTTCATTTCTGTCTTTTTTTTATTATTTCAGCTATTTAAAACCGAAATAAAGATTTATTTGAAAGAACAGCATATAGTCTTTTCTGAATACACGTTTCAGTTTGTTCTTTCTTGGTTTAAATACCTTTACGTTTGCAGAGGGTTCCTATAAAAATTAGGATTTTTTTTAAGCCTGGATAAGTTTGGAACCTTTCAAGCTAAAAATGGGGAAAAGCTTCAGTTTATCACGTCTTTTCCATAACCTTAAACATAAATTAGTATTTATATACTTCTTTATACATTCATATAATTGTGATGCCATTTCTCTTTAGTTTCCAACATCAAAACTAGAGATAAAGGTTTTTGATAAATGCCTACATCTTCAAAAATATAGGCCTTATCACTGCTTTTTTTTGACCTCGGATGTTTTCACATCTGGGTTTTGAACTGGGCCTTAGATCTGGGCTCAGCTTCGACTCCAATCAAACCATTAAAACTCTTTTTTTATTTTTGGAATTCTAAAAGATTATGGAATGACTAATTAGTAATTTGAAGGATTACTCCGGATTACTCACTCCAGATTATCTGTTCTCATTTGAACAAGTCTTATTTTCTTCAGATAATCCCAGATAAAAAGTGAAAAATCTTTAAAATAAAACTTTAAGGCTGTAGGACCATCCTAGTTCACATTTTTCAGTCAAAACCTTTTATCACAATCTTCAGTAGACTGATTATCATTTTCATCCTAAAGTTTTATGCTTAAGGATACTTTTTGTGTTTACTCCACGTTGTCCATACATTAGCTATCCAAAATATCTTACAAAATAATTAAAATGGTGAATAATTGACTTGTACTAGACTAATAGAAAACCCAGACATAAGACATGCATAATTGATTATTCTGTGTACTAGAGAGCCTCAATGTAATAGTGCGCTGTTCCCAAAGTGCAATGATTTCCTTGGTATTTACGCCCTCTTGTGGTTTAGGTTGAGCACTTCACTTTCTCGCTACATACCTGGCAGTACGCTTTTTTAAAACCCTAAACTAATGTATCTCTGCTCTGAACAGGTATGCTGCTGCTTTTTGCTCGGGGGGGCTTATACCATCTCTTGCACATACCCCACCTATAACCCCCAATTTTATGCTTCCTACATATTTCAATTTTTTGTATTAAGATTATTATGAATTTAATTTGTTTCTAAATTCTTGCAAATGATATGTCTCACTTTTTTAGGGCATTTGAGCGAGGTTATAACATGGGATATTTTTATGTATTGTACAACAATTCACAACAAATTCTTTTTGAGGCAGTTTGTAAGTCAATTTAATCAATTCAAATAGCAAAAGTCATAGCCAACTACATACACCTTCAAATTTGATGCAATTTGTAACAAATTGCAATGCAAATAGGTTCGTTAAAAGTTTTATATCTAATAAAATTGATTGCTTCAAGTCACTGGGTTGCATTCACTTCTTGAGCACATCAAAATAAATCATTTCTTGCATTGTGCTGTTTCCATGTGTTTTTTTTTTACTGAGCATACTACACTGGAGAGGATACGGACGGCATAAAAGCACATATGCTGTTTTTGTAGAAATTCTACTTGAAAGGTATAACCGAGAAATAAGGAAGAAATTAAGTAGGATGTTGAAAGAAAACGGAAAAATTATTGACCGTGAATGCGGCATTTAATCGTGAGAGAAGAGAGCTGCGTTTTTTTTAGCTTCTTTTTTCGTTTTTTTCCCCTCTTTTTAAACAACCTTTTCACGTTTCTGTTGCAGAGCGTGTAAAGGACTTATACCCTAAACTTTATTTGTACATTTAGCCCAATCGTTAACTTAATTTATCTAAAATTCCCGAAAAACATTAAACGCAGCACACTTCGTCGCTCAGTGATGACGTCTTCCAAACAAAGCAGTTCACTCAGGTATCCCCGGATTGGGAGAAGTTGTTCAAGATATATTAACAATTTTAAACCCAAATAAAGATAAGAGTTTTAGTCATGTCTGTGAATTATGCTGCTGGCCTTTCTCCGTACGCAGACAAAGGTGTCTGCGGACTGCCTGAGGTAAAACAGTTTTTTGTGCTACGTTTAGCGAGATGTTGAATAGCTAGTTAGCACCTTAGCCGATGTCGGTTTCATTGATAAGAAACATGTAAAAGAAAGGTGTTGCTATCTTTCTATATCGAAGTATCTGTTTCTGCACCTATTTATGTCATATGTGTCTATGTGCAAGATTTTTACATTTAACACCTTTTATAAATTAAGCTCATAGGATTAAGATGTTCTATAGATAATTATCCCAAAGAAAGACAGTTTTATTTGGATAACAAGTCAGATTTTATGTCAGTCATTGATGTGTTAAACAAATAATTAATACTCACCAAATTTCAATAAAAAAGCCACATCACCATTAAAGGTTCTGTAGGTATCAGGCACAGTGGTGGAAGCTGATGCTGTGGGCTTGCAGCCGTAGCATCATGTAGTTCCTGGACTTTCGAATAAACTCTATGGGCCCTGGAGTTGACAAGTAACTACTCCGTATAAGAGAAATTAAACTAGATGGCATTTGCCTAAATATGATGGTTAGATAAATAAATAAAAATCATTTTCATACAAGTGAAAGCAGCAAATAAGAATCGGACTGGGTTAATTTATAAAAGATTTACCAAGCTACTTCAATACACACACAAAATAAAGTGGTAAAACTTTTCACCAAGTGTTAATCGGTTATTTTCTTCATGTTAAAGATGAGATTTCTTGCTGTTCACACGTGTTAGGATAATTTTCATTGACGATACTGAGTGGGTGTCCTGATTACTTCCAGAACTGATGTTTTCCTCAGTAGTTAATCTTATTAAAACAGTTCCTCTGTATGGATATACAGTTATAATCTTCATTTTGTACGTGGCAAAGATTTGGAAATTGAATGAGAGCGGTGTCCTTCAGCTAAGAACAAAGTGTATTATTTTGTTAAGGCTGGAGCCATGGATGTCTACTCATCTGCTAATGTGTATGATGTAAAATAGGATGATGTGGCAGACTGGAGATGTATAAAATAACGTTTTAACTTTTAATCGGGGCCATTTCTGAGAGGCAAGCCCAGAGGTGAGCAGCTGCCTTCTGTAAACTCCAAGCGACTTCTCTGATCTGAGTAAGATTACAATTTAAATATAAATCTGTTGTCGTGTCTCCTGGTTATTTAATACATATAAGTTTTGAAGTATTATTTAAAGAGTTTGTCCTGAGTGATCTCTTTTCAGGAAAAAGAACTGGAGAGAGAAAGCTTCAAGGTGTAGACCTTCTGCCTATCTTTAACACACGTTATAAATAACAATCCTAGAACTATTTATGTTTTTAGGTTTGCAAACATGTAGCATTTGTTGTTCTGATGAGATTAAATCTTTATCAAAACAGTGATAATGTTAAAATACATTATTAGCCCATCCATACTACCCAGTAAAAGACCTCCTGAAGACAAAAACACAAGAAAAAGGAACATTGTTGGTTTGTTAGCCGGATCAATTGAAAACTTATGAACAGATTATATGGACATTTTTACAAGAGGCGCGCCTCCTGCCAAGGAACAATTCATTTAAAGTTGGTAATTATCCAAATAATATGTGGGTTTTAGCTGTAGGTTTACAATTTGGTGCAAAATGTGCTGCTTTGCAGATGTCTGCACTCTCTGAGTGCTTTTCTAGTAGTTTATGTGTTTGTGATGGGTTTCATTTGTTTCATTTGGTGTCAAACTCTATATCAATTCCCATAAAAATGTTCCATACTCAGTATCATAAGGGGTAAAAAAATGCCAAATCATTAAAGCCTAAAATTAACATGAAAAACTCTCCTTTTTCAGTCTCAACATGGAATGTGCTTTCTGGACAGAATATGACATTGTATTAGTTAAATAAGTGTAAAAATAAATGTAAAATACATAATGCAAAATATAACACACTTTGTAGCAACTAGTATAGCGCAGACCTCCGCCAAGCAGCAAATTTCGCCTCATATTTTAACCAACACCCAAAGCTCAAACTTGCACGTCTGGATCATGACTTTTGGATTCCAATGATGACAATAGTCACTATTGCCACCCTCTGGCATTAGACGTGCAAGTTTTAGTTATAACTGCTTGTTTCCTCCTTAAATCCCTATCTCACAATGTTAAAGAATCCTTAAAAAAAATCCTGTATCCAGATTATGATCTTGGATCATTCCTTATATTTTTTGTAATGTTTATTGGCCTTAGAGACACCTCTGATAAAGATATAATTAACATCCCTTGTCATACTTGACATACTTTTCAAGTTATCCTATACACAGACAGACAGACTCTCCTAAAAACAGAGGTAATAAATATTGTATGAAATATCCTCTCCAAACAGCAATGTTTCCATTTTAGATTTGAGGCAAACATACTCTGAGGGCTGTTGTTTATTTTAACCATTTGTTCTTCTGTTTTTGGTCTTTTTGCAGAGTTTTGACACTCCTGAAGAGCTAAAGGTGAAAGTGGAGAACCTTGCTCAGCTGATCAAAGAATCTCAGTATATGGTTGTCCACACAGGAGCTGGAATTAGCACTTCAGTAGGCATCCCTGACTTCAGGTGAGAAAAAAAAAAAATCATTGTAATCATGTCCTTAGTCATGGTCCATCATAAATCATTGTATTATTTGGGTCGGCTAGCTGTGTACCTCCTTCTAAAATAGCAAGTATATAACCCATGGCTGAAATATAGATGGTGGTGCATTAAACCAGAGTGTCTGAGTCATTTGATTTTTATTTATATTTATTTATTTATTTGAATAGGGACAATGCACATTAATGAACATCAGTATAAAAACAAATGTAAATATGCCAGATTATAGCTACAAAGCTAGTTTTCATCTGTAGACCCTAGGCAGGCAAATACATAAGAAAGAACATAACATACAATACAAGCATCACAAGGAAATGTTAAGAGTTTAGTGGTTACATGACTGGTTTGTTTTCATCTGTAGTTTGAGTTGAGCTCTAAAGCTGATCAGTGTAGGGCTCTCCCGTATGTGCAGAGGAAGACTGTTCCAGATGTTAGTGGCTCTCACAGAGAGAGTGTTCTGACCAAAAGTTGTTCTTCTGTGAGGGACCTCACAGTCTCCTCTGGAGGAGGCCCTGGTTCTCAGGCCACTTGAAGTCTTGGGTTTGAACAGAGTAAACACAGGAGGTGGGGCTAGTCCATGCAGCGCTTTATAAATGAAGCATACATACTTAAAATTTATAAAATTTTCAAAATTTAAAAGATTGCACTTGTTTAAAATATTACATACATGGAAAGAATTAGGTTTTTGGTCAAACACTTTTAGAGATTTTTTGTACAGTGATTCAATTATTTTAAATTGGTAACTGTGGTGAGAGACCAACTTGTGATGCAGTATTCAATGTGAGATAAAATTATTGAGTGGAGAACAATTCTAGCAGCACCAAGTGTTAAAAATGATGAAATCCGCAGTTTTCTACTTGTAAAGATCTGCATCTTCATTTAGCATAGAAACACCTTGTCAAGTGGGTTTTGTCTACCAGCTCTATAAAAGTAGCTTGCTCTGTTTGAATGGGAATCTTTCTCCTTTTGATTAAAGAAATCTATCCCATTCTATATGTATTCATTATATAACAGCAGAAATCTGCATGCGGTGCAACAAGTTACTTTAGGTCATTTCAGAAGCCGTTGTTATGTAATAGACTGGCCATTTAATTATTATTTTTTTTTTATATAATTATGAAAGGCAAATTGCACCAGATCGTGTTTATATGAAATATTTAAGAACTGTGATGCATGTTTGGAGTTTAAGTGTCAAATATCTGGAATTAGTAGAAATGTATAATATCTACAAATTACATTTGTGTGCAATATGTTGGTGTCAGAATGGGACTAATTTATAATATTTGCAGAAATATCTCTATTCAGAAGGAAATCAGAGTGATTGAGATGAAATGATCAGCTCTCATCACATCGACAGGGATGCTATTTTTATTACAGCAACTGTTTTTAGGCTGTTTGCATCGATGGAGGTGCTTCTAGAATAAAAAAAAAAAACAGTTCAATTGGAATCCAATGTATGAAATTTGAAAAAATCACACTTAATAACTGCTATCTTAGAAAGTTTTAGTGTTAATGTCATTTTAATGTTTCTATTAAAAATGTTGTTGCTAGATTGGCATTCTGGCTTTTTGAAATACAGAAGAGGAAGAGTTTATGTCCTGTGGATGAGGAATAACTACAAATTCAAGGACTTGATACAACCAGCAGGGGATCTTTAGACAGAACCGCCTGCATATCAATTACTGTACTGCATATTAATGGCCTGCCCCTCGGGAGTGAAGAAGACTTGAGAGCACATAAAAATAAAACACAAAAACATATTTTAATCCAGTTAGTTTGACTTTTTAACTACAATAAAACTGGAAGCTGAGGCCAAGAATGCATCATATTAATAGAAGTGATCAGTCTGAGAGAAATCCTCCTGATTATAGAGCTATCAGAACTCAGCGGCCCCAAATGTACAGAAATACCTAAATGTGTTTTCTACTTAATTTAAACTTTGTAGCATTTCTGTTTCAGTCTCATAGAGACTGTTTGCTTTACATCAGGGGTAACCAATTAAAAATCAGTGGGGTCCGAATAAAGAAAATAAACAACCAGTAAAGTTCCAGGGAAACCTTTTTAATTATAATCTGTTATTTTAAACAGAATTTAACACTGAAATAAAATGAGATGTTTTTGCATCCATGTTATACTTTGACTTTGAATAAAATAGAAAATGTTTTCATTTTAAATTAAATTGTTTTTCAAGTAGAGAACAACAATCATTTAGTTTGGTACATAGACAATTTCCTGATTCACATATTTTATAAAACACCTGAGCTGACCATGGTTTGTTTTTTCTTTCTTTTTATGGCTTGTTGAGAGCAGTGGGCTTTAGGCTGACTTACAAGGCTTTAAACCTGGGCTAGATTGGCGATAAAGCCATTCTCAAGCACATATCAAGGTGCTCATTTTGAGCCTGGGTCCATATTTATTTTTGATTATGGTCATGGTGGAGAATCCTGTTTGACAGCAGCAGGTTGAGCCAAACATACTCAAAATGTGCTAATCCATGACCTCTGTTCTGCATTATAAATCTTCTATTTCACAGAAACATTACAGCCTTGTTTTTAGATTTAGGATTTTTTTTTTTTTTTTAACCTGCCGGTTTTTCAATTAATCCCCCATGGGTGCAGCTTGAGTGTAACATTTCCCCTTCTCATTTATACTGTTACAGCAAACAAGAAGAACAATATATGTGTGTGTATGTGTATTTATTAGGGGTGGAACGGTTCACAAAATCCACGGTTCGGTTCGGTTCACGGTTTCCAGGTCACGGTTTTTGGTTTGGTTCGGTATATGTTGATTGTTAGACTGACATGTTGGTCGTGTTGCTGTTAGCATAAACAAAACGTGTTGC